CACACATGGTCGTTTTGCACGTGTCATATTAGGTGATGCTGATTGTGGTGGTAATAATGACTAGAAAATACAGTAATACAAGATCACACGAGGCGAATCAATGACACATGTCCGCTCATCCTTCTCCACGTCCAACTCCTCGTGCGAGTTAATTGTTGACTAGTTGACTAATTGACGGTTTCAATTAATGAATAGCAACGCTTTGATTAGCAACGTGCTCTATTCCCCCGATGATTATAATATAGATAGGCATAGAGAGAACAAATGAATTAACCGCAAATTCGTTATGTGTGACCAAACACTCGACAGGAAGAGAGATGCATGTTATACGAGGATTGTGACTCAATGACTTCTCTTTACTTTTTTCAAAAGAGATAAAAATTCGAGCGATATTTGGGAAAATGAATTGGATCAGACGTATTTATGTATGCATGTATGTAAATAACGCTCTTGGACATGAGCGATGCGAATACAAATCGATCGAATTCGTTCACAGCCCTGCTCGATTTCATTCCGTTCTATGTTCCATTTGCTCCTGCAGTAACAATTCTTTACGTCATTCAAATATGCAAGCTTAAGTTTTCAATATGAAGCGAACTTGTTACGCAAACATGCATGGACGCGGATATATTCCATGTATTTTTGCACCGTCGTATTTTATTAACGAATGCGTTTCATCTCGCAAACAATTTATCCGCAGTATGATTGAAATAGTTGCAGGTGGTAGCGAAGCGAAACGACGAACGTTTTCCGAATGTGTCGTCGCATTGTTTCGACGATACCGCGGCGATGTTTGCCAATCTCTTTCTCACCGTTTCCACTCACATTCGTTCGGTTAATTGCACGAGCATAGAAACTCCGACCCTTCCCCTGTCGTACATAAAGCTCATACGCTTGTATCATCAGAAAGGTTACTTTTTCCTATACCTACAAGTCGGCGAGAGAGAACAGAAACAACGAGTTTCTTGTCATTCCTGTGTAATCGTCCTGACAATATCGTTCCTTAATGTCCCACTCATGTCAAGCTTTAGATTAATGTTGGAAAAGATTATTTTTGCGAATTTTGCTTATTTAAATAATATATATTACTATATATATTTAATTATATATATACTTTTAATTTTTTTGTTATAATATATTCATATTTTTTAGTTTTTAACTTTGATCAGCCGCTCTTAGGATTGACTAAAAACACACCAGTCAAAAGTGAAAACAAAACTATTTCTAGAAGCGCCCGCGCTACATACATACACACACACACACACACACACACACACACACACACACACACACACACACATTACATACACATGTACATACACATTATTTATGTATTATGTAAAATTATATTTTTTTCGTTTTACATTATTTTTTCCTTTCTCTTCCCCTTTCTGAAACTATATTTATATACCTTTTATTAAATATTTCTCTTGACAATATTTCATATTTTATACATACATTTAATATCTTCAACTTTACGACAGCACTCTCTGTATTTTATCAGCCGGTAAAAGGATTTTGGCTAATCAATTATGGAATAACGTGCGAGCCTCGCTTTTTTCTATGTGGAAGGTACTGGGCGATCACAAAGCCGCTGAAATACGGAGTGAAGAGGACGCCACGCCGGATGATCGTCTACGTCAGTCTTGTTTGGCTAGGAGCGGCCTGCATCAGTCTACCGCCTTTACTAATAATGGGAAACGAGCACTCGTACTCTGAGACCACCGGCGCTTCGCATTGCGTGGTTTGCCAAAACTTTTTCTATCAGATTTACGCTACCCTCGGCAGTTTTTACTTACCACTCATCGTCATGATTCAGGTCAGTGCCACGACTAGTCCACTTCCATTTCTCTCTATTTTTCTTTTTTTATCTATTTGTACTTATTATTTGTACTGTCTTATTTGACACTGCTCTGAAAATTCTATTTGTTGAATGCTCATTTTTAATATATACACTTGTATCAAAAACCATTATACAGTTCCCCTTAATATATATTAATAGTAAAGTAATTAACAGTAAGCATATTTTAATAAAGGTGCTTCAAATTTACATAATATCAGCAATGTTTCTGTATATATGTGAATATACAAAAAAAATATTTAGTTACATAAAATAATACAATACTTAATAATTTGCACAAAGTAAACCATCTTGATGGGAAAATGATCAGACAATTATAGTTAAAACGTTATAAATTGATGCTGCTTACGAAATATTGGAGATGGATTAGCAAAAAGCCAATAATAGTGTAGTTGTGTTGCACATAGATTTCTATTAATTCACGCAAACACGATCGAGGTCTCTTACTGTATAGCTCTTCGCGTACAGGACACATATAGTGTATATATAGTGTGTATAGTATGTATACATATGTATAAAGCGATCGTACGCAAACATTATCGATTGCATGATTATACGAAAAAAATGAATTTATCGCGCATGCAACATTTTAAAGAATTGAAAAACATATTATTTTCGAGGAACATGTCCAAAACAAGCGAGACGATACACACAGATAAAAAAATGTTTTATTTATTTATTAAAAAATTGAAAAATCTCTTATTTGGTACTCATCAAATGTATTAAATAAATATTTCAAACTGCCAAAACTATTTTCTTCTTTTAACATAGTTTGATTGTTCTGATTTTGAGAATAGTCTGATTAAAAGAATAATGAGATTGTCTACTTTATCGATTAAATGTCATTTTCTTTCTGCATACTATTTCTATTAGTTATAGGAATCAGAATATTCAATATTCAATACTTTTCCTGAGAAACTAAAAATTACGTTGCATTTTAATCAATTGATATCGAATAAGATTGATGGATTAATATAATTTTGTTCAACTTCGCTCCAGTGTTATTCCAAACAAATTTGTTTTTATACAAATATAAATATAATTAGTATTTTCGCGATAAAAATATTCCCGCAACTATCTTAAATATTCTAACATGCAATGTTAATTACATCACGAAATTATTTCTCAACACCGTGGTGACGACTCCAAGGTAATTCATCGAGTCGTTTATCGTCGTCGCTCGCTCACTCGATGCATCGTTGCCCTTTTATTTACATTAGCTCGTTATACGTCAGACTCTCTTTTGTATCGCGCGACACGCTGTTGTTTGTTATTCGTTACGAAGTAGAAACCACCATTGTGCATGAAATATGCAGCAGAATGTTCGTTCGAAATTGCCACCACACGCGCACATTAGCACGCAAGAGTGCTCGCGATAGAATTTGATTGATACGAATCGTTTTATTCATGAATTAAAAATATATATATATATATATATATATATATATATATATATATATTAACATATATACATAAGCTGCATTGTGCGACATCGCGTTGCATTATAATCATCGCATAACGATAACATAATACCATGTTTGCAGGCCTAACTCGGAGAATCGTCAGCTAAAATATCTAAAACTGTGTGATGTAGTACTTGTAATTCGGAAATCAAATTGTAAAATGAAAAGACAATAATACTATACATATAGTGTAATGTAATGTAATGTAACGTTGTTCGATACGTTCGATACCAATTATTCTATATGAGTGACTTAGATTTAATTATATATTTACAATTACTGTTCTGACTGTTCGGTTAAGTGTTAATATTGGTGTTGCGTCGCTACGTTCTATTGCAACAGTAAATAGTATGACTTGCGAGTAGTATGTCTGACGTCTCGTACACACTTCGTATACGATATCGCATAATGCAGTAAATTAAACGACATCGATTTCGAAGGTGGATATAATGACTAATTACATTTAAGACTCGAAATAAGCAAGACTAAAATGGATTCGTCTTAAGACTATATATCGCTCTGAGTCGTAATCGACTTATCATTAATGAGAGAGAGAGAGAGAGAGAGAGAGAGAGAGAGAGAGAGAGAGAGAGAGAGGGAATAACATAAGCTTATTTTCTAAAATATTCTTTGCCTGAATCTGTTAAAAAATTATTAATTGTATCTTGGTGTACAGGTATACTGCAAAATATTTTGCGCTGCGCGCAGGATAGTTCTGGACGAGATAAGAGCGCAGCTTCACCTGGAGGTGCACTGCCATCTCGATATGGAGCCGGCGGCCGCTTCGCATCCGACGCCTGCTGTCATGAGCCATCAATTAAATTCTGATATACAGACAAATCGGAGCAGTCCTTCGGTGAAACAACACAGAAGTTCCAGCGCATCCACTACGGTGAGTATTCACCTCAACCTATGTTTTGAATTGGTACACAGGGTATTGCTTGTTAACAAGAAAAAGAAATCTATTCCCGTAAATTTTCTTATCTTCTTTATTTGCACGTTGGAAAAGTACATGCATTAATAAATAGAAGAATTTAATTTGTGATGAAAAATATTTTAATATGACGTATAAAAAAATGTCAATCTTTGGCAACAGTATTTACTTCACATAAAAGAATTTCTACAGTTTATGCATATCAAGCAAGAAATCACCATATAGGAAAAGGAACACTGCTTAACTTTCAGAATCGAAGTTTACAATACAACTGAAAATGAAATTTCTATATATGCGTTTTTACTAACGACAAACGATCTTCGCAAGAGCGAAATTAATTGATTTCCTTATCCACTTGAAATCAAAATCATTGCAACTATATGAACTTTTAGACAATTAGTTATTAGCTGGATACTTGAAATATCCGGTGAATCATCGGGAGATGATTTTGATTTATTGAATTATTAATCTCAAAACATTTAAGACTGCGCTAATTTCCATAAGAGTTGCAATGTAGGGCTTGGTGACCTATATTACTCGTAGCCTTATAAAAGGAGGAAATGAAAGATAAGGTAAAAAAGTTATGTAGACACTTTTATCTTTTTCTTCTTTCTATTCTATTGTACATTCAAATAGCTCACTATTTCAACGGAGCAGGCACAATAATCGTACGTATACACGAATAACAGCAGCGTCAACATAACGGTAACGATCGATGTTTATCCAACAGCAGGAACCAACGGACATTTTGCGCATGACGTCAATTCGGATCGCGCGCGAACTGTCGGCGCCAATTGCTCGAGAGTCTGGTTATAGTCCCGACTCGAACAATAGGACGCGTTTTTCTGCAATATCGAACCGCCGCGCTGACGTGTCTTAAATACCCGGTTCAAATTCCACAAAGCTTGTTTTTTATTTCTTGATCGCCGCCATTACGTACATTCAACATTGCATTTCTCTAATTACCGTAAATTTGTACAACATAAGCGAAGCAAGGATGGAGAAAGATTCTGAATAAAGCTTTCAAGCATTGATAATGATGATAAGCGCCATTAATATTCGCGGCCCGCAGAAATAAGCGATGACCGCTTTCAGTCGTGTTAGAATCTCATTTAGCGAGATTGTGTCGCTAATTAAGAAACGTCGCTCTCTGTGACAACAAAGAAAGAAATGTCTTTGTTAAAACTATAAACTGTACTTATCTGTTTCATTGTTTAATTTCCAAAATTGCTTAAATCTACATGTTCATTCCATTATTTTCAATTATGTCTGTATAAAAAAAAATACCACTAATTAACAGCGACTTGTAATATTATCGAGCCAAACTGAAATACAAACGCGAAGGAGCTCTGTTACAGTCTGTCACAGTCCACACGTCACCACATTGTGCATTTTACAGTCAAGTCATGCCGAATCGATGTCGCGGACCCACCTAAAAGGTGCTCTCTCTCCCGCTCGCTTATAAAATTCACGTGATATATCAATATACCAATATACCACCTTGTGCAACCTTCTAAAGATCTTGCAAAGATCTACGCGGTGCACGGAGAAAAACAAGACTCAATTTTGCTGGTTTATTTCTATTTAATTACTTAAAATTACAAGTCAACCATTTCGCTGTCAATTACTGTCGGCAAGAGATAATGTGCATTCAATTAAGAATTAGAAAAATTGTAATTTCCGTAGCGAGATTTTTAATGTTAAAGATATTTCAAATTACAAAGAGACTCGATCGCATTCTAGGTTAAAGAGAAATACCACACATAGAGAGGAGGAATACAACCAAAAAAAGAGATAAAAGAGTGACAACAGTTGTGAAACGCTCTAAAGAGAAATAGAAGCTCTTCGTATCGCGAAAATGGCAAGATATGAAAAATTCTCGACTGCTATGACGATACAATGCTGTAACACCATATTCCCGAATACACAGAGTAGCATCGAGAGAAACTTGAAGACAAGGACATATAATTCACAATGTGGAAATGCAGAAAATTTAGCTCCTCGTAAGCTTTTACGAATTGTCGTTCATTCAGATGCTTCATTTTTCTCTCTTTTTTAGTGCATATAATTACGTTTTGCACTTATATATTTAATGATAAACAATGGTGTCTTCAATTTATCGTTCTATGATATCGAACAGTCATCGATCCGTTTTGCGGCAAAAACGACGAGAAAGTTAAATGGCGAGGAGCAAAAGACGCCTGGAAGAAATTAATTGGATGGCAAACGAGTTTTGAAGTAATAATTTCCTTTCGAACTATTATCAGCAGCCTTGCTCAGATCGTTTGCGCAAACTTAAAATTGCTATACACAATAGAACGCGGCTTACGCGTAACGATAAAGGTTTCTCACGGAGTCAGACTATACAATATCGTTACTGAAAGTGAGATCGATTATTAATTCATTCCCGTAAAAAGAACGCCCAAGACAGACAGGTATTCTTACTCGACAATAATAAAGATTGGGTGATCTGTTAGACTGCAAAGTACTCGAGCGCGAGAAATAATATATTCAAGCCATCTCCTTTCATATTTTTCCAAAATAATAACTCTCGTCGGCTCTGTTGTGTGACAGACAATAACAATAAACGACCACTAAAATTTTATCGCAGAAAACGCTTGCTACGCTCCACAAACTTACCATAACATTAGCCGTCTATCGTGGAATTAATTTCTCACGCGGCATGCGCGCATGCATGTAACACAAGAACCGTCAGATAAATTGGCCGTCGGGCCACCCACCACGAAGTTAGTAATCGTGGGTCCGCAGCTTACCTCGAAATCAGGTTAAACCGTAAAGTCAATATTGTAGCTCGTAGCTGTGCGAGAACGTGGCGAGAAGCACGGTAGGTACGTACATCATTTATATCCGATCTCAAGTCCGATATCATCGATAATCGATGGACGAGATAATAAGGGCACCTCGTGGTCGTCAATATCAGCTCCAACTTCGATTTGTCATCAACCAGTGTGGAATTAACGCCTCCGACTTTGAGGAATTCAAAGATCGTAAACACCACAGGCTTGTGCACCTTATTTGTGTTCTTTTAAACAATCTTTTGTTTCGTTTGTACCCAAAGGGTTAAAAAGTTATGGGGGAAAAGAGCGAAAAATCATCCAACTTTAAAATATTTGAAAATGGCTAACGCCATTCGCGGAAGAGCGTTGTTTGTATCCGTTTCTTTTCAAATTATTTTTATCCAAATTGTTTTTGAAGGAATCCAGAAGTACAGGCTATTCAAAATCGCACAAGAGGTAGATTCACCAATTTTAAAGATAGCTCAAAGCGCCATCCGAAAGAGAATCGTAACGCGGAAATGCGGTACGATATTGCCTAGCATCGTTAACATTCCAGCTAGTATGAAAGCAGGTACATGCAAAGCGCAATTTTCAATATTAATATGACGCAGTGTGTAATAAGGGAACGTTGAGAATTGAATCATACATGTGTAACACACGCGGCGCATCCGAGGCAACCTACGTAATCATGAAATTCTCTATAGAAATCTGAGACAATTATCTTTCGGCAAAATATGAGAGCCGCGTAATATAATTACAAAAACACGCGCTATTTGTTATTAAATCGAGCAAAAAAGATTCAGCTTTAAAAGATAGACGAATATTAATCCGAATATTAATCGTGTGTTTTATTATGAAAAAGTAATATTTTATTTCAGTAGTTGTAATTTTTAGTAATACATGTAATAAAATTTAAAGGAGAGAATCGCTTACTTACGCTTTATCAATAATCGTTTCGAAATGAATTCTCTTTGATGCGTGCTTTATTATTGTCAAAAGCAGCGATGCGTTTCGCGATTCGCGGTTTGACATTAATTAAATAAAATCCGACTGTGTGCGTTGCCGAGGTGACGATGGTATTTCCAAGTTTCATGTGAGAAATATATCTCGTTCTAGTAAATCTACTCGAGTAAACTAGTACCCGATATTTTTACTAATGTCGCGTCACATTTCTAGGCATGTATCTGAGTTTTTTATACACAATTTTATTGGGAAAAATAATTTTTCTCATTTCTATTCCTTTCCTTAATTACTCATTGTTGTACTTGCTTATTTATATCGCATATCTAGTATACGTCAGAGGAAAACTTGGGGAAGCAAACAAATCAATATAAAACCAGAATACACACACACAAATATATATACGTGTGTGTGTGTGTGTGTGTGTGTGTGTGTGTGTGTGTGTGTGTGTGTGTATTGCATACAGAGTCAGGCGATATGACGTTAAATCGTATCTCGTGAAATCCGACATTGCATCTTCGGGCACGATTTGGCACTCGGTAAATGCTACCAAATGCAACCGCATGCCGACCAACGAACGAGAGAGGAGGCGAGACGTAGAGAGGTAAATGCCGAGAGTGCTAATTGCGCCTGGTTTTGTTTCGCGAATTTGCATTCGCGTACCATGCGTTTAACGACGCGGTCACTATGGCCACGCGTTTGATGCTACATCGGACGATGCGAACACAAAAAGAATCATCAGCAGTCCTGCTAGAATACCGTAATACCATGATTGTTTATTTTGTTTATTAGATAACGAGTAACACGTTATAAAAAACAATTACGGCAATTATTAATATATAAAGCTATAAATGTAGGTAATTAAATACTATGATTAAATATATCTAAAAAGAGCGACTGTGTTTCAAGAAGAACGCATATTATAATGCGAATGCATTTGACTTTCCGCCATACGACTTGGCTTAAACAATCGTATTTTCTTCTGCGCAAAAAACACGCGACAGAAAGCTCAACCCTGTGAGCTCCTCGCTCACGTTAGTAATCCGTTTAACCCAAATGCGACGATGATACTGCGTAAATCGAGCGATATTCGAATATAATGCCGCGCAATTCAGTCGTGCATGAATATCGCGTGGGAAACTGGACTAGATAATGGGACAATTGATGGATATCGATAGATATCGATTATTGCCAGTTCGC